ATTATTCATATTTACGCTGACTGATATTATTAGTATTTGTTTATGTATCTAGAACTGGGAGACACTGAAACCAGGAGCAATACCTAATGGGGGACTGTGGCCTATGGAGAGAGACTCTCATGCTAGTGCTATTATCAATGGTGACTCTACCTCACCTACACTAGTAGTGATTGGTGGAATGGATAAGAGTGATCAACTAGTTAATGAATGTTTGTTATTTGATAGTATCACTACTGGTCAGTACAGTTGTAGGAAGGTATGTGTGTGTATAGTACTGTAATGATGTGTGTGTGTGTATAGTTACATGTAGGTCAGTTGAGAGTATGACACTAGTACTGATGTATATTGATGATAGATTAGTAATTGTTAGTGTGTTCAGTAGATAACACTATCACTGATGAAACATTAACAATACAATATAACCACTCACACATTTGGTTTACCACTTTACATTATGTACATATTTGTACACATACATGTATTTTGTTATTCTTCACATGATGTGAAATAAAATGTTAATTTTGTTTGTTGATGGTGAGGATTAGAATTTATTTTACAATTACAATAAATGTAACGATCATCTACATACGAAATGATACAATTTCTCATTTTTATAAGTAACTGTATAAACATCATGTATCAGTAATTACTTGTATACTTCTCTTTATCTACAGATTCCTCTACCTGAATCTGTTACTGGTAGATACAGTCACTCACTCACAGCAGTCACAATGTCACCATACTGTGTGTGGCTAGTAATTGTTGGAGGATATGAAGAGTTTGAATGGGAAGATGTTGGAGGAGGAAAGGAAGTGCCAATGAGTACATATATCACTGATACTAATAGACTAATAATGATAATTGAATTAGGTAAGATAATATTAATCAATTGTAAGGATATGAGCATTAAATACATAATTACATTAAATAATGTACCACTCATTTTTATAGTATGTACATTATTTGTAAATTTCAGTTCCTAATATGACGTACATTTTCCATTCATTTTGTATACTGTACACACTACAATACCACTGTATGTGTGGGTGTGTATTTACAACCACTATAAATGATACCATTAGTTTATAAATTAAATACATTTATTTATAAATATATAATGTATCTATTGTGTCTCAGTATATAGTGAAGCTGGTGAGTGGATAGTACAGTCAGTACTGGATGGTAATGATCTCACTAGTAAGAACTATCAAGAAAAGTATGAATTGTACAGCAAGACCAGAACATGGTGGATGGATCAGCTAATAGAATATCCTACAGAGAGGGAAATGAAGCTTCAGAGATATATACAATATTTACATGAAGACCTACAAGTGGTTCATCAGAGCAAAGTATCACTACAGAAGGCACTGGTTGAGGCCAATAAACAAGGTATATAGGATACTACACACACACAGACTTTAACTGTACTAACTGATTACTATTATGTAGTATTGTGTGGTTATTGGTAATGTGAGTGGGTGTATTAGTACTGGTTTACATTATGATACTAGTGGATTAGACAATGTTGAGTATGGAAATAGTATCCTGTACTCAATATAGGTCAAATTGTGGATGCATTAGAAATAATGAGATTTATGTAGAGTGAGCTCTGCTTACCATGTATGGTATGATTAGCAATAATCATAGTACATGTAATTATGGGCTATGTACATGCAGTGCAAATTATTATAAGCTAGAAATAATATTGAATATGATTATTTAATGGTTTGTACATTGGTTGAACCAGCCCTTGGTGTGTATATATTATCTGTATATTCTGTTGTATTATTATGCATATACTGATTACTCTCTTCTTTTATATTATTATTCATTTAAAGGTGATGATAGTAATGATATTATGAGCAGTGTATTAGAAGAGATGAGACAAGAACAGGAAAAGTTGATTGAAGAGAAACAGATTATTACTGGTTAGCATATCATCAGTACATAATATTAGATGAGAGAATATTCTATTAATGTATAGAGGATCATGAGAAACTGAAACTCAAAGTTGCTGATAATGAAGTATTTATAACTGAAATATTGGAAGAGAAGACACAAGTAGAGGAGAAGAAACAGATTATTACTGGTCAGTATATAATCAATACATACATTGTAGATGAGAGAATATTCTATTAATGTATAGGAGATTATCAGAAATTGAAACTTAAAGTTGCCGAACTATTAGAAGAGAAGGAGGAACAATATCTCAAGGAGAAAAAGATCATTATTGGTTAGTTAACTATGCACACAGCATGTATTAGATGAGAGAATATGTTTATTGTGCAGATGACGTTCAAAATCTCAAAACTGACATTTCTGAGAAAGACGAAGTTATAGCCAAACTGACATCACAAGTAAAGGAACAATCACAGAATCAGAAACAGATCATTACTGGTTAGTGTATCATCATCAATCAATAATAATTATTAATATTCTATTAATTTATAGACCTTAAAGAAAAGGACTTGTACATAGCCAAACTAGTGAAGGAAAGACAAGAGAGGGTCCTCAAGCAACCTATCAAAGAGACTAGTTCCATTGGACTACAATTTAACTACCTGATCCCTTCAATGGGTAAGAGTATTATTGAGTTACTGACTGAGGGTATCTGTATTTTATACAATTGTGAGTGTACTCACTGTATATATTTTGTATAATTGACAGATAAATTGGATTGTCTGAGTGATGTCCAGGTAGCAGAGAGGAAGCTGTTCTTAATTCAAGGAGACAAACCTCAACTGATGAATTGGGAGAAATATGGTCTAAGGATTGGAGTAGAAAAGGAGAGCTTACTGTCCTCTGAGACAGTAGAAGCAGCAGTGGTTGCTCTTGTAGGAGGAGAGTTTGAGTTTCCTCCTAATACTGTCCTAGTGAGTGCTGTGTATGCAATATCACTCTCAAAGCCTCTCCTCAAACGGCTCATATTAGAAATACAGCACTGCGTTGATTTAATAGGACGACCAGGTCGTAGTTGTCATCTCAAGTTTGCCATAGCTCCCGTGAGCACACCCAGTCTTCCTTACCAATTCTCCATAGTTGAGGGAGGACAGTTTAATCCTGATAGTTGGTATGGATCCATT